AAGAGGAATAAATGCAACGTGGTAGCAGATCACATTCACATATGGATGGCAAATACAGAATTAGGATTCCGTCAGGACAACTTACCAAATTGATAATGAATTTTGAAGTTAGCCACCGCAGTCTTTCCTGTGTCTTGTTCGCCGTAGGTGATAACCACGTCTTTGCCAGATGAAACGTAAGTGTTCTCCTGTTCTTTACCACAGATAAGTGAGGTTTTGGTTTTGTCCGCGTCAGCAACCGTCACACATTGATTTTCCGTTTTAGTCTGTTCAAAATATCAAGAGTGAATTTGCTTGGTCTTTGTTTCATTCGTTTGAAAAAAATTGAAATCCCAGAGGAAATGATCAGTTTCGTGAAATTTTCGAAGTCCCCTCTACTTGTATTTTACGCAAAACAACAACTGGAAGCCTGACGACCCATAGTGGTCTTTACGATGGACAGTTTTTGTTTTCTGGTTTGAAATAACGTGCAAAACAAACTTCAACTTAACCTCAACTATAACATTACGTGACCGGTATTAAATATTGACCAAGAAAATGCTTGAAAAATCTACCAACATGATCACATCCCTGATCATTTTGTTCTTCGTAATCTGAAGATTATAACCATGAGCATGAAGCAGACTTACTAAGGTTTGGCCAAATTCATACCGAATCGACATCCAACGTCACACGTATCTTTTTCCCACTGGTGGTCGGCATATTCCAGGAGCATAGCAAACCAGTCGGAATGGTGTCTACGGATTTCGCCACACTGAACGATTGGGTTTTATCCGTCGGTGGATTGGGCGTATCGGCACATCTGTTATCGTTCACTGAAAACAGAGATCGTCTAGTTGGTTAACATTTTGAGCATGAACTTTCCAATAAAACAGAACTACTCGGTGACCGGATCATTACTGAATTGTGGTTTGCAGTTGTGTTTTAAATGCTGACATGATTGCAAAATTACGATTCCACTTGATCATTTATTGCCGTCGAATAATGATAATGTATCTAAATGATTCATGCTATTTCATTCATTAGGTTCCACAGATGTGATCTCCTCGTTACTTCGTGATAAGATATCCATCCCAGGTGGTATTTTGTGGTTAAGGAAACTCTTATCACATGCGCTTAGCTATTAGTCACCTAGGTTTATCGCATATTGAACAAACTGTATTAAATGAAGTTTAACGGTTGGTTTACCTCAAACGTCCGTAAACCGTTCGCTAGATATCCTATGATTTCACGTGCAGACGTTTACCTGACGACAAAAGCAATGGAGATATCCCTATTTCATGCAACCAGTTCTCTTTGACAATTTCATGAGAGCAAGAAGAAGCAGCACGATCACAAGATGTGCTGAATTCAAGTATTTCTTGGTTATCTAATCAGCTGTTTACATACATTCAGATGACGTTTGGTTAAAATAGTGACAGGTTTTGGGATAGGCAGGCACACACGGGGAACAGAAATCAATCAATACGGAGGCCGAAGGTCGCTAAGAAGAGCCGGATTGGATTCACCACACCCTGTGATCATGATGCTCCTTCTTTCTCTCATGAAATACCCGTATTTATTGATTTCGTATATGGGATTTCTAGACTGTCGAGAAACTGAAATAAAAGTATCAATGCTGCCCTTAGTATTATGTTTGTTGAGAGTGATTTCAGGCATTATGTAATCTAGTATGTCATGCACTAGACTGCAACGATTTTGTATTTGTAACTCAAATAGTATAACAGGCTAAAACAGTTTGGCCTGCAGTCTAACAGCATATCAATTTTAATAATTTTCAGCAAATTGAATGATTATGTTTTGGCATTCCATGTAACTCACCAAGTTGATAGTACATCCGGAAGTTTTTGATTGCGGCTTTCGTAGCCTTATTAGGACCCTTATATGTGACTGAGATGTTCTTACCGGCGTCTGCAGTGAACATATTCTGTCCTTCCTCCCCACAAACGGTTGATTCTGTCGCAGGCTCTGTATTGCCTGCGTAGGAGACTTTGACGCATTGGGTATTTGTGTCCGGCTGACCGATGGATGGAAAGACAAACAGGCTAAGGTTCAGGTTCGAAGTTAATATTTCCGCAATATCACAGTTCACCTGAAGCACACATATGATAGAGTTCTCACCCGCCATGATTCATACCAACAGGAAAATCGAGTTTGATTGGGTAGAAAAGAGGCAGCTTCAAAGCGGACTCTAGTTGGTAGCACCGGAATAATATTTGTTTCAACAGAACGGTGGATATCATTTCAGCTTACATGATGTTTTGGCTAATTGTCCTGTTCCACATAACGCTCATAGAAGCAGTGCGTCAAATATTGTATATTCACGGGAGTGGAAGGCGAATAATCCTCTTGTAGTAGATATATTAAAGTTCCCCAAAATGTATTCCAAATATTTTTATGAACAAAATGCGTTTCGGGATGCAACTAGAATAGAAAGTCTATAGTGGGTTTTATGACGTTTTAACCTCACACGTTTCCAAGAGCATTACTCTAAAAAACGAAAAGTCTGGACTGCGTTTCATTTGGTGAGACACAATAATTCTCCACGTGCAGGACATTAACGCACGGTATTTGTCTCCAAACTCATGTTTTGACCGTACTATGCAATCCCTGCGACTAATGATAATTGTATATTGTGTTTATTACCTTTATGTTTCACAATTTGGAATGTGTATTAAAATGGAAAAAGGATCTATTCCTTAGTAACGTACTGAAGCAACTTCCAAATGTAACTGAAGACTTTTATGCTCGGTGGATTGGAGTGCCCAAACACAGGCTGTTCCAGCAGCGATTGTGTCCTTTTGAGATATACTGAAATATTGTCGGGTATCCGTTGGCGACTTGACATCTGTTGTGCAATCCGCATCATTTACTGAAACCAAATGACGGAATCGAAGGAAACTCATTAATAGTTGTGTTTCAATTTCAGGAAGCGAACTGATGTGCGTTGGTAGACCACGTTTGAAAACATTTACCTAACTGGTAAAGCAGTTTAAGGTCCTTCAACGCTCCTGGTGGTTCGGCAACAGGTTCAGCAGTGGCTTTCCGGACAACAGAAATATATACTTTCGACTGAACTGTTTCTTTAGAATCCGTGCACCATTCCTTTTTGCCTCCTGTTATGCCAGGGCTTTCTACTACGACACAGACCTTTACAACAGGTGCCTATAGGAGCAATATTACGAAACAGAATCGCTTTACCTGCTCTGCAGCACCTGCAGGCCAGGACAGTTGAATTGTCCTCCGTGAGGGCGTAGTGATATTCCACGTACAGTTTGGATCCGCAGTACTGGGCATGACGAGTTCTTTAGAGGTTTCTAATGCCACATATTTTGTGTCTCCACAATCGGCTGGTTCTGCGGCTTTCACTTTTTTAGATTTTAAGTTTACCTACACGAACTTACCTGTCACGCCATACATGCTGGCGATTGTGACTAGCACAATAAACGCTCGCATCATTTGCTCGCTGTGTCTCACACAGATTCATGCACTTCCAGTGCATATATACTCCTCATCAATGGGTGGAGTGGAGACTGCTCGAAAATATGTCAGAAATTGGCTAAGTGTGCAACAATTGTCTATTTTTGGAAGTGGCATGATTGATACCAGAGAGCACACATCTGAATTATTTCTGATATGTTTCCACCGTTCCTTTTTTTTAGAAATCTGCATATCAACTAGTGATCTGTCCACATTCACACGCATAGTAAATTCTCAAACCTGGAACTATCTGACGGAATACTTTTGGGAATTCGCTTTCTGTTGATAAGCCGTATAATACGTATGAACCTTATGTTTAACTGTTAAAATCCGGAAACATAATTTAGTCCCGAAGACAAAGAAACAGATCAACTTTGCTCTTGAAAAGAATCATAGGGTTTTCC